TGAATTTGTAATATAATCATATCATATTGATATTAGAAAATGTTAAACAGTTTTGTGCCATATGATTTCTATAAAATTTTACAAATTTTATGTTAAATATTATATTAAATATAATATTACGTTCAACTTTATATTAATATTATTTAGATTGGTCAAAATTTACAAACCTCTTATCTTCTGAACTATATGTTTAAAGTAAGATGATTTTCATTCATTTTAACATTAATATTAGAATATTAATTATTATATTCAATATGTCTCATATGTCTTAGCTTGTAACAGCCCACATCCAACGACACTTTGCACCTAGCCCATATAGTTTTGGGTATAATCCATATACATTTGCTAAATTGAGGAAATCGGAAAACAGTCGCCTATAAAACAATGAAATTTAAATCTCATGTTATTGAAATCATTTGTTTATGATCATAGAGATCAAATCAACGAAACTAATTGGATTATATAAACTGGTTTCTTTTTTTTTTTTTTTTTTTTTTTATTTGATTACTGGATTGTGTATAAATCTAGCCAAAAATACTTTACTTTTTAGACTGGAATGGGATCTTTACATTAATTTCAATGGGTAATCTTCATTCGATTTTTTATAAAACAAACACCCTTTACAGAAGGAAAGAATATGGGAAGAGGAATAGCTTGGTATTGGAGAAAGCAACATGCTTAAACCAGAATCAAAGCAAGGTTTCACTTTCCAAGTAATTTCTTCCAATCGTCACTTTTCATACGCTATAAAATTTGGAAGGATTGTGTACGGACTCTTATTCACAAAAAAAAAAACCAAACTTCATTACTCAATTTCTCCTCTCTGATTTATTACTATTACCAATGGCTGATGCAATTGTTTCAATTGTCTTGGAGCAGCTGGCTTCTTTTGCTGTTCAAGAAATAAAAAGTGAGGTGAGCCGTGTGGCAGGTGCTGGTAAAGCGGTTAAGAGCCTAACCAGCACTCTAGGAACCGTCCAGGCCGTGCTCAGGGATGCTGAAGAAAAGCAAGTGAAGGACAAGGCTGTGAAACTTTGGTTAGATAAGCTCAAAGATGCAGCCTATGACATGGAAGACGTGTTGGATGAGTGGAGGACTTCAATTCTGAAATTGAAAGCTGAAGAGCCAGCTGAAAATGCGTCTACAGCGGCAAATGCTTCTATTTCTAAGAAGGTACGTTCGTTCTTTCTCTCCTCTGGCTTTACTTTCAGACAACTTGTGTTTCGTTGTAGAATTAGTCTTAAGATTAAGGATATAAACGAAAGACTAGATACTATTGCCAAAGAGAAAGAAAGGTATAGTCTTACGACTAGGAGTATTGAACAACCTTCACGTGTAATAACTACCTCCTTTGATGTTTCCGAGATACATGGTAGAGATGAGGAAAACAATACTTTAGTACACAAATTGTTGTCTCATAGTATTAATCATGGCCTTGATATCATCTCACTAATAGGTATGGGAGGGATAGGTAAAACAACTCTAGCTCAATTTGCCTATAACAATAACGAAGTGAAAAACAAATTTGAAAAAAGAATATGGGTTTGTGTATCAGACCCTTTTGATGAGTTTCGGATCGCCAAAGCGATCATTGAAGCTTTAACAGGTAGTGCCTCTAACTTAAGAGAACTACAATCAATTTTAGAATCTATTAGCAACTTTATTGTGGGAAAGAAATTTCTTCTTATCCTTGATGATGTGTGGACAGAAGATTATGATAAATGGGGACGATTGTACAACTGTCTAAAGGATGGTCACCATGAAAGTAAAATTTTAATTACCACACGTAAAGAGACAGTTGCACAAGTGATGAAATCAACTGATATCATCGCAATTAAGGAATTGCATGAAGAGTCATGTTGGTTATTGTTTAAAAGTTTAGCATTGTCTCATAAGTCTCTTGATGAATATGAAAAATTAGAAGGAATTGGTAGGCAAATTGTAGGCAAATGCAAGGGTTTACCTCTTGCCGCAAAGATTATAGGGAGTCTCTTGCGTTTTAAAAAAAGTAGAGAAGAGTGGGAAAGTGTCTTACATAGTGAAATGTGGAAACTAGAAAAGTTTGAAGAAGATTTATTTCCCACTCTGTTTCTTAGTTATAACGATTTACCATCTATAGTGAAACGATGCTTTTCATATTGTGCTATCTTTCCAAAGGATTATGATATAAATAAAGATAAATTAATACAATTATGGATGGCTCAAGGTTATCTTGGTTTAGAACAAGACAAGGAGATGGAATTAATTGGTGAAGAGTATTTTGATATTCTAGTTGCACGATCTCTCTTTCAAGATCTAAAAAGGGATTATGATAATAATAATATTATAGGGTGTAAGATGCATGATATAGTACATGACTTTACGCTATTTCTTACTAAGAATGAGAAAGGTCATCATGCAATGTTGGTTGGTAATGAGGTCTCATTAGCTAAACTTGTCTCCATTTGCAATGTCAAAAAGTTACGTAGCCTCCTTGTTGAATATCAGAGGGATTTGTCTGAGCATAATGTCTCCTTTCCAAAGTTTATAGCTAAATTGACACATTTAAGGGCACTAGGTATTGGAAGGCAATTTCAACCTATCTCTATTAAAAAAGTTCCAAAAGGAATAAAAAACCTGATACATTTGAGATACCTCAGTTTAAGTGATAATTGGGTATTGGAAGAATTGCCGGAAGTAGTATGTGAATTATATAATTTATTAACCTTAGATGTCAGTAGATGTTACAATCTCATGAAACTACCTCAAAAGATGGAAAAATTAATAAACTTGAGGCATTTGATAAACAAGGGAACTATAGGATTAGAGTACATGCCAAAAGGAATGGAGAAATTAACTTGTCTTCGGACGTTACAAGAATTCGTAGTGAGTGATAATACGAAAGCATGTAGTCTTGATTGTTTACAACACCTTAGCAATCTTCATTCTCTGGGTATAAAAGGGTTGGGATATTTGAGAGACGTGGGTGAGGCGAAAAGAGCACAACTTAAGAATAACCAAAATCTCCTTTCTTTGGATTTATATTTTGAATATATAACTTACTCCCTGCGTTTTCAGAAGAGAATAAATGAGAATGATAAGGTAATTCTTGAAGCCTTACAGCCACCTCCAAATTTAAAGAAATTAAATATTCAAAACTATAGAGGTAGCACATCATTCCCCAATTGGATGGTGTCATTAACTAATCTGAGAGTGTTAAGTATTGTTGATTGCGTAAGCATTGAGCATTTGCCTTCTTTAGGGAAATTATCATCCCTTGAAGTACTCGAAATAAGGTACGTCACAAAAGTGAAAAGTGTGGGTAATGAAATTTTAGGAATTAAGAGTGATGACACATCTGCAATTGCCTTCCCCAAATTGAAATCTCTCACATTTAAAAACATGAAAAAATGGGAAGAGTGGGATTATGAGATTACAAAGAATGATGAAAAAGATATTAAAATTATGCCATGTCTGCGTTCCTTGCACATTTCTTGGTGTCATCAATTGAAAGGAATACCAAACAGTCTTCTTCAGTCAACCACACTAGAGAAATTGCAGCTCGTTCATTGCCGTATTTTACAACAGCGTTGTGAAAAGGAAACAGGTGACTATTGGGCCCAAATCTCTCACATCCCTCACATCGAAATTTCTTAATCCGCAAGTTGAATTCTCCCACCAGCATGTCAAATCATCCAACTCTGTCACTGACGATTCTTCCTAGTGGTAATTTCTTTCCCTTCTTTATTTCCTTTTAATAGATGGTACTTTTTTAGGTAATCAAAGTAATAAATCAATTTTTTAATTGATTGCATGTTGTGATATTATCTAGAACAAGCAGCAATTTTATTTTATCATTATTATTTTTAGGGAAATTATCATCCCTTTAAGTACTCAATATAAAATGGGTAAGCAAAGTGAAAAGTGTGGGTAATGAAATTTTAGGAATTAAGAGTGATGACACATCTGCAATTGCCTTCCCCAAATTGAAATCTCTCACATTGGGAAGAATGGGATTATGAGATTACAAAGAAGGATTAAAAAGATATTACAATCATGCCATGGCTGTGTTCCTTGCACATTTCTAACTGTTATGATTTGAAGGAATTACCGGAAAATCTTCTTCAGTCAGCCACACTAGAAAAATTGCGGCTCAATTACTGCCCTATTTTAGCACGGCGTTGTGAAAAGGAAACAGGTGACTATTGGGCCCAAATCTCTCGCATCCCTGACATCCAAATAGTGAAATAGGTTCCCTATCCTCCGTCTTTGTTGCTGAAGATTCGTCTAGTGGTAATTTCTTTCCCTTTTCTATTTCCTTTTAATAGATTTACTTTTTTTAAGTAATCAAAGTAATAGATCAATCAATTTTTTTAATTGATTTGCATGTTGTGATATTATCTAGAACAAACAGCAGTTTTAATTTATCATCATTATTATTTTTAATATTTATTAACTTCAGTACAAATTTCCATTCACTGTTTTATCCCTTAAATATAATATGATATATGAATATATCTCACTCTTAGTTTTATTGGTTTTCCTTTTTTTGAATGAAACAAAGAAAGCGTCATATGATGATGTGGAGAAAAACATGCCGGCAAAAAGAGGTAACTACTGGGTGTATTTTTCAGTCAATTGGCACAAATCTTATATGCTCTCTATCAGGTTTGCATTTTCTCACTTTTATAAGAAAAAATCTTGAATATAAACGCTTCTCCGCTTGCTTTTAAGCGCCGAAAAATCAAAGACTGATTACTATTTGTTACCATGCCTAATGTTAAAGGTTTGCTTAGAGAGTCTTTGTGTCTAATAAAAGTAGTCTTCAATTTAATACTTGAGGCAAGGAGTTTGAGGTGTAAACATAAAATCCCAAGTTTGTTCTATTAGCTTTTATGTGATTTAATTTTGAGCCTTTATGGTCTAGTGTAAGTAATGAAATCAAGTATAGTTATATCTTTGATTATTATCATTTTAACCAGGATTCTTTTTTTTTTTTTTTTTTTTTTAGGGTTAAGAAAGAAAATTCCTTGTGCAAATTGTAGACCGGACATCAAATTTCAAGAGGAGATCAAACTGTCATGCCTGGATGCATTGTTAAGAAAGGTAACCACAATTGAGATATGCTTGGCTACATTGTGTAAAACAGCGTTGTAAAAAAAAAAATGACTGATTTTGGGTAGAAAATGGACTCTGAATTCTCCTACACTTTTCCTGGTTATCAATCTAAGGGTAATTTCTTTTCCTTCTTCATTTCCTTTATATACAGGTTTTACTAGTAATCAAATAAATGGATAGATTTGCATTTTGTAATGTTAACTAGAATAAGCAGCAGTTTCAATTTGTTTTTAAAATATCGATAAAAGTAAACAATTTGATTGAATGTTTATCAATTTCGAGTGTGTATTAAGTAAAACTATTTAATGTTAAAATAAGTATATCTGATCCTACTTTGTTTCATTTCTAGTATGTATTAAGCAAAACAATTTAATGTTAAAAGAGATATGGTTGATTTCAGAGGGAAATGTATCTCTATTAGCTTTATTGTTTTGTGGCATGCAGAATGCGAGAAGCTAGACAACAGAGGAAGCTTCAGAATAACATTTTTTACTTTGTTCACAGTTGGAGTTTTGAAATAGTTCTTCACCTTCAATTTTCAGGTACAAAGATCCCGGATATGTAAGCATTTTGGATGATGCTTTTATTTATAATGGTAAATACATCTGCTCTGTTACCATTTCTTAGCAGAAATACCATGTCAAATGATAAAGACTTGCTTAGAGAGTCTTTGTGTCTAACAAAAGAAAGTAGTCTTGAACTTTTACAGTTTGATGCATGTAGTATCAATTGTAAAGCTAAAATCCCAAATATGTTATATTAGCTTCCATCCCATTTATACTTGAGGCTTGAGGATATATATTTTCTTATTGCACTGAAATGGTTGAGTTCATCTCTTAGCAAGCAAGTGTTTATTTAATGCGCAGGGTAAAGGAACAAACTCTATGGTCAGAATACTACTTGGATTATTCAAGAGACAGGAGACATTCATAAATCTGTTTAAAATGAAATAAATAGGAAGATCAGGTAATTCCTTAATGTGAATGATCTTGTTACTATATCTTTCATTTCCATTTTCAGATATTCTCAAGAATCTTAAAAGCATTCTTATTCAAGAAGCCATTTTATCAAAGTATGTACTATTTGCAGAATCATTGTCATCAAATGTGTGCCCCTAAACCAAGGCAAGTGGCTTTTACCTTTGAGCATTACATTTAGTAATTGACCGTCGTCGATCATAGAAGGTATATATGTATATATCTTGATTATTATGATTTTTGACAAGCTTTTTTTTTTTTTTTCCCCTTCTTTATCAGCACAACGCTTCTTTGTGCTACTTGAACTCCAGACATCAAATTTCAAGAGAAAAAGCAAATTGTCATGCATGGATGCCTTTTTAAGAGAACTTCTTTGTGCTCATAGTATAAAGTTTCAACCTGCTCGGGATATTTGGGTGAAATGGCTTAACTCTATGTCCATTTTGCGAGGAAGTAATTTGATCACAGACAAACATAGATGGGCTAACGTCGATCTTCAATTTTGCTTGTTTATTAGTTGGATGTTTAGTGCGATAAACGTTTATTTCATGTTTGGAATTTTTTACACTATTGTTCCTCTTAGGACTAATTTTTTTTAGGTGTATTTTTTTTTTTTAACATGAATGTATTGCATGCATTTGCATTCCATATTATGTATTTAGACTCTTTTGAAGGGTAAGACTCATTACGTCCCCCCTTGTCTAGGTGTTATCCTTCTTTTTCATTCAATAAAACTCTCCTCGTACCGTCGAGGTTTCCCCAAAAAAAGATGTGTATCAGATTTTAGAGGCATGTAAATTATTGTCTACTTGGCTGATGTTTTGTTGTTTGAAGATGAAAGAGAGAAAAAAATAAAAATAAAAATAAAAATAAAGATGAACATCAAGAGAAGAAGAATTTTACTGGTAAAGAAAGGTAAACATGGGATGGAGACTTCAAAAAGTCATTGTAATAAACTATAATCCAAATATGTTCCTAGTTTTAAGAGGATTCGACATTGTTACATACAACAATAATCTTGCAAAATATAACAATAAATTTTAAATAACATTGAATTATATATAAACAAGTATTTTCTTTGCAGGGATAAAACAATTAATTTGTTGTTTTTGTGGTATCAATGGAAGCCAATGTTTTCAACTTATGAACAATACAAACATCAATATATTGATGGTTTGATACCCCAGGCTTAATCTGAATGGAGGCTGTAAGCCCTATGGCCTATAGTAAAGTGATTCTTAAATTTCATATTTATTTTAAAAACTATCCATAATACTTTTTTATGATTAATCAGAAAGAAAATACATAAGTTTGAAATTTGAATGTTTTGTATAATTTTATCATTCATTCATTAGTATCTTAGACATAGGGATGATAATAAAACTCGATAAGGTGGGTACCCGGAAAAACCTATTCCTACTCGATGAGAATTACTCAAAGATAAATTCCAAGGTTGTGGGTAAGGATAGGAAACATTTTCATCCCCATACCGAGGATAGGTACGAGGGCAAGTAGAGGTGTCAAGTGTAAAAACCTGTAGTTGTATCTATACCTGCCGTTGGTCAATGATTTATTTATATACGTGTTAATTATTTTTCATTTAGTTTATTTAATATATGTTATATACATATGATTTGTATAAGTTTTTTCTTCATTCATATATAAAAATAGGATAAAAGCGACTTTAAATATATTGATTAGTTGTTTAATATATATGTTGGGTGTGGTTTTTTAATTTAAATAATGTTAGTTTCTTTTTCTAATAACAAAGTTTAAAATTATTATTTTGTTTTCTTTGCATTAAAATGACCAATAGTTAGTCAAAAGATTTCCCAATAATAATTCAATAAACCTACGAAGAGTATTATAATTATTATTAATTTGATTTCTTTTCATTTAAAATAAAAAAAGAAAGAAAAATATGTTGAAATTTATGGGAAAGAGACAAATTTTGCCTCTTCCGTATGAGTTTATTTGCTCCCGTCTTCAATCCCCGAATTTCGAGGACGGGGAACTGTTCGGGGATTTCGTTGGTGTCTGACGACGGGGACGGGAAACCACTACCTGTTCGCATGCTCGGAAGTTGCTGGCCCTACTTAGGTAGGCTACTTGTCGTCCTATAGTCTTTTAGTAAAACGACATATAATTTGTAAATCCAGTAGATATGCTGACATGGAAAGTTCACAGACAAAACCACACTTTAACATCATGCACTTCACAGCAGAGAATCCTAACAATCTAGTCCCCCTTCTTCTTCTACTGAAGGCAGCCCTTGTTCGGTTTTCTCTTTTGCAAAAACCTTCGAACGTTAAAAGAAACACAAACAAGTAACAGTTTTTAGGGTTTTCTGAGAAGCAGTGACTATGTACAGAACTGCTTTTTCGAGACTTAGGTCTCATAAGGTCAGTATCAGCTCAATCCTTTAAAAAAATTCTTAACTTCCTTTTTGTTTCTACAGAAAATTCATGAACTCGAAACAAAGAAATAAAAAAATGGTTAAGGTTTTCTGTGAACTGGGTTTGAAGGAAAGTTCTGTTTAGATTGAAAAACCGATTGAAAAGAAACAAAGATTGACCTTCATTTTCTAGCGTTATTGAAGGTTAATGAGGGTTATATTTGAGGATTTTGGATCCGGTATTTGTTCATGCTTTCTGGGTTATGACGATTACGTATGATTTTTTCTTTTTCAGTTATATTAATAAGGATGTTGTTTTAATTGTGCTACATTTTACTGCGTTTAGATGTGGTTTTGTAGCTTGAAAGACCTTTTCTTCTTTCTTTCTACTTTAATTAGCAATATTTGGGCTTGTTTGATTGGAGATATTCTATTTATCAATCTCTTTTGTTTTCTTACTGAAATTATCTAGCAAGTGGTTGCATTGATTACAAGGGGGAACTTTTTCTCTTTGTCTGTTTTAAAAGGTTTTTTCATGGTACCTCAGTTAGTAAAGTGAAATGTATTATTCTATATTATGAAATGGTTTGAGCAGGGCCTTCTTGGGAATGTTCAAGCCATGCGGTATGCAACTTCGAGTGCAGCTGCTGTGAGGCCATCATCAGCAGGGCTCTTTAGCTGGCTGACTGGAGAAAGATCTAGTTCTCTTCCTCCTTTGGACACAGTACTTGAAGGTGTTTCCCTTCCACCTGTACTGCCTGATTATGTTGAACCAGGAAAGGTTAAGGTTACAACTCTTGACAATGGGATCAGAATTGCCTCAGCAACATCAGCGGTATGTGTGGGTTGCAGCAATGTTTTTATGCTTTGTTTTATTCAACTCCAAATTGCCGTTTGGTAGTGCTTTACTGTCTTATTTTTGTTTGGTTGTTTGCTATTTTAATGAGTGGTATGTGTCTCATTAATTAGAACCCAGTAGCCTCCATAGGGATATATCTTGATTGTGGCTCTGTTTATGAGACACCAATGTCATGTGGGGCCTCCCACTTGCTGGAGAAGATGGCATTCAAGAGCACTAAAAACCGGAGCCACTTGCGCATTGTGAGGGAAGTGGAGGCAATTGGAGGTAACATATCAGCCTCTGCATCTCGGGAGCAGATGGGGTACAGTTTTGATGCTCTGAAGACCTATGTCCCTGAAATGGTAGAGTTGCTTGTGGACTGTGTGAGGAATCCTGTGTTCTTGGATTGGGAAGTCACTGAAGCGGTAATCTTTTTCATCTTGCCACTCTTCTGTTAAATTCTTAAGGTCTTTTGGTGCAGAGTATCTTGCAGGTTTTTCAATTACTCTTTTACAAGTCACTTGCATAATTTTTTTTACTGTATTCCTTATCTGGTCATGTTTGATGCTTCCCACTGTTGGAAGTAGCATATTTGTGCATGCTTGCTGCACTTTCTGAACTCATGTATTGAATCAGGTGACCTCCAAACTGGAGTCTAAGGAACTGATGCTAATTTAGTATTTTTGTCTCCACCATTTCATCTAAAATTAAACACTGATAAGTATGTATGTCTATAACATGATCAATTTCCATGTCATTACTCTTGGATGTTAAAAATTCACAGTTGGTGTCTGTTAGCTGTAATCTTTATGAGGTCCTTTCCTGTCAAGTACTCTGTTCTTGTTACAATTTTCTCTGCATTTATACAGTTGTTCAAATTGAAATCAGAGCTTGGGGAAGTTCGTAACAATCCACAAGGTCTGCTCTTGGAGGCTATTCACTCTGCTGGTTATGCTGGTGCTTTAGCAAATCCTCTTTTGGCTCCCGAATCAATGCTGAACAGATTGGACAGCACGGTTTTGGAGGAATTTATTGCTGTAAGAACAAAAAACTCATTGATATATATATATATACATTCCATAATTTTAGTTAGATCTTTGTTTTGCTCTTGTATACATGTTTATTTTGTTGAATGGACTAACTACACTCTTAAAGTCCTCTTGATGTGCCGAGGAGCAGTAGGCCTGGCGGCATCTAGCATTGATCTTGATGAGCTTTTACCAATTGCAGAGCCGCTTCTTTCAGACCTTCCAAAAGTATCCCGTCCAGTAGAGCCAAAATCTGTTTATGTTGGAGGGGATTATCGCCAGCAAGCTGATTCACAGGTATGAATCACTAATTGCCCTTAAGTTAATGAGTTTGTCTTGCCCCAGTCAAAGCGAGGAAGAAAAGATTTTTTCTTCCTCATCAGCTCTTAATTTTATAGAGGTCCGTTAACTGTGTTGTTTTTTTCAGAGCACACATGTTGCTCTTGCCTTTGGATTGCCAGGTGGCTGGCTGAAAGAGAAAGAAGCTGTCATTTTGACTGTTCTTCAGGTGCTGCATTTTCAACTTTGCTTCTTCGAGATATTTAATGCATTTTCTACTTTTCTTTTCTTCTCATGATCGTTTTCACACTAGTTCAATCATTTCAAAATTTAACCTGCTACTATATCTCCGTCTTGATCTGATATCCAATTATGGTGTATTAAATTAACAATTTTGATAGTTCTGCAGATGCTTATGGGAGGAGGTGGTTCATTTTCAGCTGGAGGCCCCGGAAAAGGGATGCACTCACGTCTCTGTAAGTTGTACTTATTGCTGCACTGTTCACTTTGCTTGTCCATTCTTCTTTTTACTCCTTAAAATGTGCTAATATTCTTTCTATTCGGTGCAAAGTTCTTCTCGAGTTTTAAAATTGTTTATTTCATGCATTTTGAATGCAGATCTCCGCGTCTTGAATGAGTATCAGCAGATTCACTCTTTCTCTGCATTCAACAGTATCTTCAATAATACTGGATTGTTTGGCATTTATGCTAGCACTGTAAGGCACCTATTGCTCTCTATTGTGTTGGTGGATTAAATATTCTCCAAACGTTAATGGGCTGATTGTTAAGATCAATTCCTTCACTTTTATGGATTAAATATTAAATGATCTTGATTTAAATGAGAAACCTCAAGCTAAGTATGCATCTAAATAATTTTCCTTTTATGATCATCTTAATATTGAGATCCCTGGATGATTATAATCAGATGCAATGATTTTGCAATCCTTATCTTGATCACATCTCTTTCGCTTTGCAAGTAATTCTTGTTTGTCTCCTGTCGTAACAAACTTAAGTTCAAGTATGTTCCATTTATGGTCACAGGATTCTGATTTTGTTTCAAAAGCAGTTGATTTGTCAGTAAGAGAATTAATTGCAATTGCAACGCCTGCACAAGGTTTGTTCTATAACTACCACAATTGTGTGTTTCATGGAATCTGCAGCAAGTCCTGCCATTAAATTCTAAATTTTTGCTAATATTTTGTGTTGGTGACAGTAACTGAAGCACAGCTAAATCGTGCCAAAGAAGCGACAAAATCTGCAGTACTGATGAATCTGGAATCTAGAGTATGTTCTCTCTCTCTCTCTCTCTCTCTCTCTCTCTCTAGGGTGTTCCTCTTCTTGTTCTTTTGTGTGTTTCTTTTATCCTTGTTTCTAATACGCGCTTTGTGTTTTCATTTCTATTTGTTATAGCATGTTATAATTATTGAATGGCTCTATTATGCAGATGATTGTTTCAGAAGATATAGGCAGACAGATTCTAACTTATGGAGAGAGGTATGCCTGGAGTATATGCACCCTTTTTCTCCTATTCTTGTTATCTTTGCATCTTTGAATTGCAATTGCATAAATCAGAGATGGAACGGGAAAAGTTTTTTCAAATTTTTAAATGCTTCATCTCAGAAGAATACATGTTATGATCGGAGTCTGGTTACAAGTCATGAAGAGAACAGGTTGAAAGAAATAAAGAGAAAACCCTGTTGAAATTGACATTCGTTTCTTATGCCATGAATTTATATGATTTCACCAGGAAGCCTGTGGACCATTTCCTAAAGGCAGTAGATGCAATCAACTTGAATGACATTACAAACGTTGGCCAGAAAATTATTTCATCACCTCTAACAATGGCGTCTTATGGGGACGGTAATTCCTTCATATCTGAAAGAGCTCTCTGATCTTGATTTTCTGATGTTTCGATTCTGATGATTTTTTCCCTTATTTGTCACAGTGATAAATGTCCCCAGCTACGAATCTGTTAGCAGCAAGTTTCGTCCGAAATGATAGAGCACCATGGCATTTCAAGCTCATCCCCGGCCCATGGCAACTTTTATGCCCTCTGCAACCTGTTAAAACCTATTAAAATAAAATAGAATCAAGAAAATTTTGCCATAGATCAACAGAAAATGATTTGCGCATAGCCATCCAGATATCTTTTCGGTTTTACCTAATTGCTTGCCCGAACACGAACACAAGTTCACTTTCATGGTCATATCATGAAAAATTTTCCATGTTTACATTTCATTTTAAAGTTTTTTGTTACTTCAAAAGGAAATGAAATTCAACATACAGTTTTTCTCCATGTGTTGTATTGTTGCCAGATTAGTTATACTTTATTTTGTTAGTGCCATGTTCATTGTTTACTGAAACAACTCTCTTATCTTCACTAAAGCTTATTCACAATATTTTTTTTTTTAATTGAATTTAAGCTCAAAACAAATTGCTTATTTGAGGTGCAAATGAAACTGAAATATTTTTTTTATTTTTTTTTATTTTAAAGTCCTGTAATTTTATAAAGAATAAAGAATAACAACTTAAATATGGACAAAAACTAAGGATATACAGTCCTTATACACAAAACAACCCAGACTCAAGACAACAGCCTATACCATCTTGAGCGCCTGTTAAAAGAACCAGCGAGATAGGCAAGCCACACCCTATATTTCCAATCTCTCCTGGGAACACCTAACAGGAAACAAAAAAATCTGCACAGTAAGAACTCTTCAGCACCCAGCACCAGCAGCCGCCCCTTGTCACCGAAAATTTTCATATACAGCAGCCTGGAAATTTGTAAATTTCTGCTGTTATCGCTCCATCAAACTGCAGCTTACGCTGCCTGCCAGCATTTGGCCAGAACCTGCAGTCAACCCAGCAATCAAAATGCCCCTCCATACATATAACAGCATACCACTCTGTAGACCAACCATGCGCCGCAGCCGCCCGCACCTCGATTTCCTACGCGCCACTATCACGCGGCGTCACTAAGCCACAAAATACATAGCCAAAATCACCTCAACCTCCCCCACCGGCCGTTCCCTCACTGCCGAAGTCACATCACCTCAGCCCATCCCCTCCGACTCTCGCGGCTACCCAATCCCGCGCCACCTTATCATCTGCAAGGCCACTCGCCTCATCCAATCCCGTACCGCCACGTCATCGCNTTAAATATGGACAAAAACTAAGGATATACAGTCCTTATACACAAAACAACCCAGACTCAAGACAACAGCCCATACCATCTTGAGCGCCAAAGAACCGGCGAGATAGGCAAGCCACACCCTATATTTCCAATCTCTCCTGGGAACACCTAACAGGAAACAAAAAAATCTGCACAGTAAGAACTCTTCAGCACCCAGCACCAGCAGCCGCCCCTTGTCACCGAAAATTTTCATATACAGCAGCCTGGAAATTTGTAAATTTCTGCTGTTATCGCTCCATCAAACTGCAGCTTACGCTGCCTGCCAGCATTTGGCCAGAACCTGCAGTCAACCCAGCAATCAAAATGCCCCTCCATACATATAACAGCATACCACTCTGTAGACCAACCATGCGCCGCAGCCGCCCGCACCTCGATTTCCTACGCGCCACTATCACGCGGCGTCACTACGCCACAAAATACATAGCCAAAATCACCTCAACCTCCCCCACCGGCCGTTCCCTCACTGCCGAAGTCACATCACCTCAGCCCATCCCCTCCGACTCTCGCGGCTACCCAATCCCGCGCCACCTTATCATCTGCAAGGCCACTCGCCTCATCCAATCCCGTACCGCCACGTCATCGCTGTCGGATTACTTCTCCTCTCTATCTCCCCCTCTCACTTCAGCCGAAGCCTCCGAAATTCTCAAATCCCTAAACTGCCCTCGTCTCGCATATAATTTTTTCCAGTTTTGTCCATCACTTTCCCCTAATTTTCACCACGACGCTTTTACTTACGCGCGACTCATTTTGATTCTATCTAAATCGACTCTCCCCGACCGGTTTGATATCGTCCGTGCATTACTGAGCGACATGGAGAGGTCCAAGATACGTGGCAACATCTCGACCGTGAACATTTTGATCGGCTTCTTCGGTAATTCTGATGACTTGAAAAATTGTATTGGGTTGGTTAAAAAATGGGACTTGAAGATGAACTGCTACACGTACAAGTGTTTGCTGCAAGCTTACTTGAGGTCACGCGACGTGCACGAGGCGTTCAGGGTTTACAGTGAGATGAGGACGAAAGGATACCAGTTGGACATCTTTGCCTACAACATGCTGCTGGATGCTTTGGCAAAAAATGAAAAGGTTCTTGTTTTGAAATTCTAACCCTTTTTTTTTTTTTTTTTTTGTATTAATGTTGATGTTTGTTGAATTATTCTGCCTTATAATTATGAATGCATGGAGCTCAAAGCATGTTTTATAGCCTTTCCTGTAAGCATTAATCTTCTGTGAAGTTGAGGTAGCCATGAAAGTGGGTCTGAAGGGAATGTGTAGGAATTTTAAACTGATGAAATTGGTGTAAGTTTGTGCTATTAGTGCTGTTTAGGATTGTCAAAAGTAGAAGAATATTTTGATTTTGTTTCTGAATAGTGAGGCATACTATGAAAGGAAGTGTTTGGATGCTGCCAGGCGATTAACTTTTAGAGTAACCCAGAAAGTAATATAAGAATTCATCAAATGACAAGAAACAATTGCAAGCCTGGTTTTGACATACTATTTATTTAAATCCAGATGTTTCTTTAAGATTGGTGTGTTGTAGTTCATTCATACAAGTGCAATTTCCTGGTGGTTGCTTTACGGTCCATTGTCAGTTTCATGGATCCTTATTATCTGATCTGCAGTATTTTGACAGGTTGATGAAGCCTACAGGGTTTTTGAAGACATGAAACGGAAGTTCTTGTGGCGCCTGATGAGTACACTTACACAATCATGATCAGAATGACTGGAAAGATGGGTAGCCTGATGAATCACTGACTCTTTTTGACCAAATGATAAAAAGGGCTGCACTCCTAATTATTTGCTTTAACACTATGATCCAGGCACTTGCAAACGGACGGATGGTTGACAAAGTTATTCTTCTCTTCTCTAAAATGGTGGAAAGAGAATGTGACCTAATGAACTTATAGTATCATTTTAAATGTTCTGGCCGCAGAAGGGCAGCTTGCTAAACTAGATGAAGTTGTGGAAGTGTCAAAGAAATACAGACTAAGTCAATCTATGCATATCTTGTTAGGACTCTGAGCAAATTGGGCCAATAAGTGAAGCTCACGATTGTTTTGCAACATGTGGAGCTTAGATGATAGGGGAGATCGGGATGCTTACATTTCCATGTTAGAAAGCCTGTGCAGTACAGGGAAAACAACAGAGGCTATGGACCTGCTGACTAAGATTCATGAGAAGGGAATATATCCAGATACAATGATGTATAACACAGTATTATCAGCTTGGGCAGGTTGAAGCAAATATCTCACCTCCATGATCTTTATGAGAAATGAAAAGAGATGGCCCTTCCCCAGATATATTTACATACAATATTCTGATCGCAAGTTTGGTAGGGCTGGAAACGTTGACGAGGCTGTTAAAGTTTTTGAAGAACTTGAGAGTGGACAACTAAAACCAGATATCATCTCTTACAATTCTTTGACAATTGCCTTGGGAAGAATGGTAATCTTGATGAAGCACACATGAGATTTAAGGAGATGCAAGAGAAAGGGTTGAATCCCGATGTTGTACATACATACACTCATCGAGTGCTTGGCAAGACGGACAAAGTTGATATGGCTTGCGATTGTTTGACGAGATGCTAGCTGAAGGCTGCTGTCCAAACATTGTCACATATAACATCTTACTCGACTGTCTTGAGAGAAGTGGGAGAACTGCTGAAGCAGTGGATCTTTATGCAAAACTCAAGCAACAGGGGTTGACACCTGATTCAATCACATATGCAGTGCTTGATCGATTGCAGAGTGGTTCTCACAGGAAAGTCAGAGTTCGCAGGCAGAATCCAATTACAGGTTGGGTTCGGGCATGGCAATATCATCATGTCACTGCTGGTGACTGAGATGCCTTGCCCGGGTAGAGCAGTTTTTGGTAACAAATCAGGATTAGTACTTGGGTTTGGGTTCTAAGTTAATCCCTCTAATTCATGATTGAAACCCAGATGGATTAAGTGACACTTAGCCTGACTGCCATGAAGTATTGCAATGCATACCCAGAAATAGTCATAATCTATTGTTACTCTTGTGAATGGTTGCAAGCTAGTCATGGTGGGAAATTGTTGTTCTTAATGGTGCACCAGACCAGAAAGGTTGAGGTTCTTCAACAAAAGCACACCTTCATTGTCACAGTTATTAAGCTGACAATCTTGGATAAACAAAAGTCCACTGCAAAATATGCAGCTGAGTTTCTTCTCACCAACAGAGATTGCATTTTAAAGACAGAAGTTACATCTCAACTCAAGATCAATGTCTTCATTGTTCGCAGAAGCAACACCAACACAACACAGACGATGCAGTCAAGTTAATGCTCAATATATTATGTGTTGTCTCTTCTATCATGAATATGCAGGATAAAGTGAGCTGATTGACTGTAACATTGCATAATTAATTGGTTTCTTTGGCGATTCTTTCCAACAGGTCGGTTTTACTTCAGTAAGAATGTTACATTTTATAAATGCATAAAATTATGCTTTTCACTGTATACTAAATTGAGCAATTTCTTTATCCATGGAAGAGATTGTGGAATATTGAAGATGCCAGCAAGTTGATGTAACAGGCGGGCCAAGTCCGCTTTGGACACGAGCTCACCAGTTACTGGCCATCCAAGTTGAGTGATGGGCCTGATATCAAAATATTGTGTGTTTTGGACACATAGTCCATCATGGTTTTGTCTTAGGGCTTTATAACCCAAAGTGCATCTTGATGGTTTAAGAGCTCCTAGGTTATTTTAACTTTCATATTTCCTTCTCAAAAGAATATTTTTTGTTTTTTTTTTGTTTTTGTTTTTTTTTGAAACATGGTGTCTGGATTAGTTTGTGTGCATCTCTACTAATCTTTAAAAGTGACTAATATTATATCTCATCGTCATGATCATCTACTTAAACCTTGAGAACCAGGAGAATCCGAACTTGAGACTGTGCGTTTTAACCACACATTCCAATGCTCGTCCTTCTCAAAAGAAGTAGGATATCATAGTTGAAAGACATTTCATCGACAACAAATATAAGTTTAATTTTCAGAGTTTTTATCCTTGAAATGTCTCCATCTTGGAAACTGTTTTGCAAAAGATAGAAGCAACATGCAATAGATTACAAAAGGAAATCTGAAAGCTAGTTAAAATTGGATAGGAATTTGAGCTTTTGCTAGTAATTTTTTAATTTGTATTAAATTTAACCCAACCTCGTTTGGTAAGAAAAAAGGGTGAGTTTGTGCTTATAATTCCAAAGAGTTAATTACATTGCTCAGTTGGTAAGAAAACAGGTTATTTTAACTAGCTTTCATATTTCTTTCTCATCGTGTTTGTTTTTTTTTTTTTTTTTTTTTTGGGAAAGCAAAGTGTTTATGTTAATTTGTATGTGTCTCGACTAATCTTTATAGGTGACTAATATTGTATCCCGTCATTATAATCATTTCTTAAATCTTGAGAGCTAGATAAATTCAAACTTAAAACTGTGTGCTTAATCACATAATCCATGCTAATCCTTCTCAAAAATTAAAAAAAATAAAAAATAAAAAAGGATATCATGTTGAAAGACATTCCACTTCCACCGACAGCCCCCCCTCCTCCCAATTAAGTTTAATTTTCAGAGTTTTTATCCTTGAAATGTCTCCATCAACTGTTCTGCGAAAGATAGAAGCAATAATATTACAAAAGCAAATTTCCTCCACAAATGTCACCACTCACCAGTACTTTCATCTCTTTAAGTAGACCAGTTATCGAGGCAAAGGAAAGCCAGGGAAAGTAACAAACAAAAACAGGGCCCAATTGGCAATTAAATACTGCCCATGGGGCCCTTCAAAGATGGACCACTATCTCAACATTGAAAACGTGTGTTATCTTCCTGTAATTTAAAGTTTTCATTTAAACATTTTTTGGAATATTCTATTGCTAATTTTTTTATCCCTTCCAGAATTTTTCAAGGAAACATTGAGTCACATATTTATAATCAAACTCATTATTTCTTTTTTAAATTAATTTTTGTGGCTTCTGTGAGTTTAATTTTCCCTCACGTGATGAATATCGAATGATACCAATAATTAAATTTATATATCTTTTTCAGTAGAACACACAAATTAATTAATTGTTGGACCACATATTTTTGTGGTTTTCAAAATCAGTTGTTTCTTTACAAATAAAATATAAAATTTCATTAATAAAACATAATTTTTTTAGCTTTTTTTTTTAGAGTAATCTAAGCATAATGTACCGGTTTTTTTTTTTTTTTTTTTAATGACCAATGATATCTAGACTAGCTTATACGCACCTTAACTAATCTCTCGATATCTGTGAATTACTCATCAAGTAAGAGCTCCATTAGCTACCTCTATTAGCAGCCGAGGAAGAACTCGAACTCAGAACTTCTTGAATAATACATCTAAGAGTCTCTATCGAATCACTTGACCACTCAAATATGGTTAAGCTTAATGTGTTTGCTCTACTCTGCAAGATGTGACAGTAAAGTTGTATCACAGTTTATTAAATAATTAAAAATTAATTCAGAAAACAAAATCCTATAGAATGTGTAATTAGTAAATAATATACAAATTTGGGGTCATTTTGACAAGATAGAATTTATTTAAACAACCATTTTGGATGATAAATCCCATCAAAATTATTTCCAAATATTTTCTCCCTTAGTATGAGTATGAACTTTCTTTCACTCTTTTTCTTTGCTACAATAGCAGCAACTTCTCATGCAATTCCCCACCAAATTCACCTTCTCCGCCCACAATCCGGCTCCGCAGGCCACCGCATTGCCGGTGTCAACTGCCTCAGCTGGCGGCTAGCCGTCGAGACCGACAATATCCGCAACTGGGACTTGGTTCCGGAAGCATGTGAAGACTACGTCGGACATTACATGCTAGGGCACCAGTACCGCAAAGACTGCAACATCGCCGCTGTTGCTGCTTTCGTTTACGCCAAAAACGTTACACTCAAAGGCGACGGCAAGGATATCTGGGTTTTCGATATCGATGAAACTGCCCTCTCAAATCTTCCTTATTACGCTCGCCCTGAAAACGCTTTCGGGTAAGTCATGCAAGAAAATATTACAATCTTATTAAACAGTTAATATCTATAACCCATTGATCTTGACTTCCAGGGCGAAGGAGTATAATGAAACGTCGTTCGATGAATGGCAGCTCGAAGGCAAAGCACCCGCCGTGCCAGCTGTCCTTCATCTATACGAGAACTTAATGAAACTGGGATACAAGATTGTCTTCATTACAGGAAAATCTGAGAAAATGAGGAACGTAACAGAAGCCAACCTGAGGAAATCGGGTTACCATACTTGGGAAAAGCTTGTACTAAAGTAATTAATCAATTAACTATATCAATACTGCTAATGTGTTTTAGAGTTTTTAATTTTAAGTTTTTTCTTTAAATTTTTGGTGGCAGGCAAACGTCTGAATCGGGAGAAACAGCAGTGGTTTACAAATCTAAGGAAAGAGGGAAGCTGGTGAAGGAAGGATATAGAATAATTGGAAACATGGGAGATCAATGGAGCGATTTGATGGGGAATTTTACAGGCCAGAGGACATTTAAAGTTCCAGATCCCATGTACTACATTAGTTAATTACTTTAATCAACCTTCTTAATTTTGTAGTTCAATTTTCAAGTTTGTCAGTGTGGAAGATTTTCGTCATCAAAACGACAGACTACTTATTTTTATCATATGTATCTCTCGCAATAAAAAAAATATTAATGTAATGTTCGTCGTACCAATAATTTGAATAAAGTCGGATCAAATTTAACATATTCTAAAATGCATGTGATAATGATTCAGAAAGGATTGAAGAATATTGGAAGCTGTCCATTCCAAATTTGGGCAAGCATAATTCTATCAGTTTGAGCATGCCACCTAACAATTTATTAAATTAATTAACACACATGATTTGTACTAAGTACGATCATATTCAATTAATTTGTTCTAATGATCAATGCAAGCTGTGTATTCCAAATTTGGACAAGCAGCTTCTGCAAATCATGAAGCTTGTGCATAATTAAAACATTGTATTTAGGATGTGTTAAACATGCTTTTCCTCGAGTATATATATTAAATATATAATGGATTAAGGTTTAGTTTGAGATTGTTAATTCCAATTTTATATTAGCTTGTTTGGCAGGCAAGACTTATTTGCGAGCTATAATGTTGGGTTTGTGAGAGAATGTCTATGTCTAGGCTCCGTTTGTTTCAATATTTTTATATTATCTTATTCCTATAATTCTGAAAATATACATTTGTTTCCCTATTCTGAAAATCATATTCTATTTTATTTAATTACTTTTAAACCCCTAAGTTTGTTAATTTAACTAAACACCTCCCAAAAAATGTTTAGAAATTGATAAAAACACCCTCACCTACTCACATTTGCCAGATTCCAGCCACCACCGTTGGAAGGTGGCCGGAATTTGGTATAATGGCGTATTACCGGCGGGATCTGGCTGGTAGTACGCCGATATAGCCTTTTTGGGTCAGATCCACCATGGATCTAGCAGGAAAATACTAGATCTATGGTCAAAGATCTGGCCGTTGATGACCAAATCTTTAGCCATAGCTAGTCATCAACGACGACCATATCTTTGGCCGTCGTTGACAATCAAACGCGGCTAGATCTAACCGTAGGTTTAGCCTTCTTCGGCCAAATCTACGATGGATCTGGCTGGAAAAGGTCATCTCGGCGTACTATCGACCAGATCCGACCGGTCATGCACTAATACGACGACTCCACCCTTTGGCAGTGGTGGCCGGCTATCGGTATTTAATGGGTGGGTGTGAGTGTTTTTGTAATTTTAATGTTTTTGTTACGGGGGTGTTTAGTAAATTAACAAATATAGGTGGTGTTTTCGTTAATTTTTAAATTCTACCTCATTATTACCACTCAATTCTTACTTTTTTAAAAATACTATCCCAAATATTAAAACAAACGCACTTATGAGATTTGGGTTATAAATGTAATATTACCCAATTTTAATTGACTGGAAAAGATTGGACCAAACTTTTTTCATAATATTTTTTTCTAATGTTAAAGTTGTAAATCCGGGTGTAAATAGAATATGAAAGCAATAATTTTACTTTGATAAGCATAATTAGTGGATAAATATAACCAAAAAAAAATTAAAAAAAATCAACCACCTTAAAGAAAACATATGAATTCAATCAATCAACCATTGGTCCTATCATGACGTGAGTACAAAAACGTTAAAATATTGTCCAAAAATCTGACAACTAATTTCATCTTTATGATACCTAATTGGATACAGATTCATGATAGATAGCCAGCTGTTATGACGAAGAACAAAAAGCTAATGGGCCATTACTTATTTTCATAAAATGGAAAACGTGTACTAAATATGAGGTGTTACAAAAACCTTATCTCTTCCAATACTAATAGAAGCCATACTTATTCTTAAGAAAAAATAAAAAATAAAAAAATATTGGAACTTGGAAGTATTTTTTTTTTTATTATTATTAAGAACTTTAATTTTAATTTTTTATAATTGCATTTCACATAGAAAAAATATATATATTTTTAAAATAAAACTTAGAAAACAACTTTTTTAGATAATATTTAATTATTATTTAAAATTATTCTTTGACAGATTTTTTTCTAATGTAGTTCCTGCCAAATTACATGAAACCCCCTGTTAATTTTAAAATAAATATAAATTATGAGGGTTAAAATAAAATTTTATAAAATTTAAAAAAAAAAAAATCTTCCAGGTCTAAAAAAATTATAAAATTTATAAATTTTACCCCTAAAAAATACTAAAAACCCCCTATAAAATTTTGTTTTGCCCCCAAAATATAAAAAAATTGAGGGAGGAAAATAAAATTATCCAAGGCCCATGGGACCAGCCCCGACCAGGCCTAGGGCCTGGTCCAGGTCCTGGTTTTTCTCATGGTCCCAGGCCTAGGCCCGCAAGGGACTGATCCCTTGCCCACCTCTACTTTGTCATTTCATAATCAGCTGATTTTTTTTGCATCTAATTTTGTATAATATTATTATTCCACCTATGTGATGGAGATCATTCTAATAAAAACAAGAATTATGGTAGCCTCAATAAATAATTCTGCCGCATGTGAAAATTACACTGCACATTTATTTGAGCTTTTTTCACTTTAATTCTTTTTTGTAAATCACTAATCATAATATAATTAATACACACGTTCGCGTCAATCCTTATTTTTTAGGTATAACAACAGTCAAACCGTCGATCCAACTAGTCAGATGGGTCAACCTGGGAACCGACCACTTGACCCGAGCTAGGTTTAAAAACATTGGACATTGGTTTAAGTAATACAATGTATCCACTCTACGGAAAAGTTTCTCATTTTGGAAAAACTCAATCGGCAAGAATCAAGATATAGAATTTAATGTTCCTAAATAAGGTAATCTGGTAGGTCATCTATGACTATGAAGTCACCATACAAAGCTTAATTAGGCTATATAAAGTAGGCAAATTGTGCAAATCAATGTATCAAAATTTGTTCAAATCTCTTCTCCAGATTTCAGAAACACTAATATACAGCTATATATCATGAAAATGTTTTCATTCTTTTTTGTTCTAGCCACACTTGTAGCAACGTCCCTGGGTTTTTCATACCTGAGTTGGGTCGTGGGGACTTATAAAATTATGCGAACAAACACAGTTCCTAAACATAAAAATTACTTGAACTTGAAGCATTACATGTTAGGCCATCACAGTCAGTACATGAGAGACTCGAGAGCCGTCGCTAAGGAGGCCCTTCGCTACGCTAAAAGCCTGAAGCTCGCTGGCGACGGCAACGACATATGGATCTTTGATATAGACGATACCTTGATCTCTCATTTGCCTTATTTTGCTAACCATGGACTCGGGTAATTTTTTAAATTTTTAACGTACTTTAATGTTATCTAGATTTATACATTATTTATACGGTAATGTTGTTCTAATTGTAGTGTCTACTGTTAGGACGGAGCCGATTAATTTGACGTCGTTCATTGAATGGATGAACAAAAGCAAAGCACCAGCCTTGCCGGCGAGTCTTCAATTGTACAGAGAATTATTGTCACTAGGGTTTAAGATTGTCCTCCTGACGGGAAGGCCTGAGGAGTGGAGAATGGCGACAGTCACCAATCTAAAGAAAGTTGGATACCATACTTGGGAGAAACTTATCCTCAAGTAAGCCTTAATTTCTTGAACAATTTCATTAATGTTTCCTCTTTCTTTTCTATCATTTTAGGGAGGTTATAATGTATAATAATAAAAATATTTCGAAAGTAATAAAAGATAAAACAGGAAACAAGTCATTATAAATATTGTAATATTAATTAATAATATCCCTAAAATAAACAAAAAGAAAAAGGAAAAAAATCATTGTAATTAAGGAAATAATTAAAGCCATAAACATGGTATTTGAAATTAAAAATCTCGTATTTTGAAATCATTCTATTTGGGTTGATCTAATTAATTAATCTTTTGGTTGCAGGTCATCATCTTATCCAGGAAATATAACACTTCAATTATATAAATCAATTGAAAGAAGAAAGCTTGAGGAGATCAATGGATACCGAATCATTGGAAACATGGGGGATCAATGGTCTGATATCAGTGGGATTCATCCAGGCAATCGGACGTTTAAGCTCCCTAATCCTATGTACAACATATCATAGTTAAATGTTCCAAATATGAAAATTTTTATGCCATTATTCTAGATAAGAAAATTATGAATTTTCATGCATGAATCCTGATCTAATATATGTGAACACACCAGATATTCTCTGAGTTTTGACAAAATAAAAATTGAATGACACAAGCAAGCTGAAAATTTAACAAGTTGTGAAGGACTGACACTTGTTAGGATCCGGGATCTCATACCAATCAAGTGTGGTACTTAAGTCGAAGGGTTCTCCCATCTATTAGGCTAGTCTTTTGGGTTAGGTTATCCTTTGGGTTTGAGTTCTAACATTAATTGGTATTTTCGTTGAGAGTTGAGCTATAGAAAAGACTATCTATAGGTTAGATTAAAGTACAGTGTCCTCTTCTTGGGAGGAGGTGCTATATCAAATAACTGACAGATAGAGTAAAAACCATCGTGAAGGTCGACTCTTGAAGGGGGGTGCAATAACAAAAACAAAAACATTATTTTAAAATCTTGCTTTCTATTATTACGCGAGAATGCAGGGCCAAAACGCATTGACCATATGCATGTGCATGAGATAATCAAGACCTAGCGGTAGGATCAAATATTCATCGAGATTTTGTGTAGTTTAGTTGAATTCTGAGGCCAATCTACAAATCTTAATTAGCCTATATAAAGGAGGCAAGTTTTGCAATTCAAAGTATCAGAAAAACTGTTCTCTGAAAGATCAATTTCATAGCTACCACGAAAGAGTTTTCAATATTCTTGTTTCTTCAATCTGCAATTCTATCAACATTCTAGGGTTCAGACTACTCTTGCCTGAGTTGGCGACTTGGTGTCGAAACTAATAACATTATCGGATGGGACACAGATCCGCAAGAGTGTGGAAAGTACGTGGAGAAATACGCGGTTGGCCATAAACAACAATACAAGAAAGATTTTGAAACCGTCGTTGATCAGGCTTATAGCTATGTTACAACCCTGAACCTCACTCAGGACGGCAAGAACATCTGGGTCTTTGACGTAGATGAGACAACTCTCTCCAATTTGCCTCTTTTGGCTCAAATGGGATACGGGTATTTTACAACTAAGATTCAATTATACGCAATGCATAATTATAATCAGTACAATTTATTTTATATTGATATGGTGTGAAAATTAAGGGTCCGTTTGTGTTATTATTTTGAATAGGATTTTGAGAATAATATTGGGTAGTTGAATAAGGGAGTATTATAAGGTAAAATTTAAAAATTGACAAAAAAACCCCTAGGTTTGCTAATTTAACTAAACACCCCAATATATAAAATTTTGTAAAATAACAAAAACACCCACACCCACCCACACCCACCCACAGTGCCAGATTCCGGCCACCACCGCCAGAATCTGGCTGGAAAATAGCGTTACGATGCAGACCGATCGGATTTGGTGGGTAGGACGTCGATATGACATTTTCCGGCCAGATCCACCACGGATCTAGTTGAAAAAGACTAGATCTACGGCCAGATCTGGCCGTCATGGTCGAAAAATTTCAGATTTGGTCTTCAGTGATGGCCAGATCGATGAATTATCCGTCAGTTCCGATCATTTGTAGGCCATTGTGATATATTCCGGCTATCACCGATGGTGGTTGCCAGCATATGACAAGTATGGGTGGATGGGGGTATTTTTGTTAATTTTTAAACTTTTTTGGGGTATTTAATGAAATTAATAAACTTAAGAGGTTTAAAAGTAATTAAAAAAATATACTAATATTTCTCAAATAACAAAACAAACAATATTTGGGGAAGAGGATTGGAAAGATGGGTAGAAATAATGTGCCAAATGGAGCCTAATATTTCAGGACTGATCCGATGAACACAACATTAATGATTGAATGGAATGAGGAAAGCGATGCACCAGCTTTGCCGGCGAGCCCTAAGTTGTACAATGAGTTATTGTCTCTTGGGATAAAGGTTGTCTTCCTCACAGGAAGATCTGAAAGCTTGAGAAATGCTACAGCAATCAATCTACAGAAAGAAGCGTACACCAATTGGGAGAAACTTATCCTCAAGTAAGTAAGTATATATATATATATATATAATTGAAATTTATTTGTTTCTGTATTTGGATTGCTATAATATTTTTTTGGTGCAGGGGATCAGATTATCCATCAGGTGTACCAAATGTGATATTCAAATCAAATGAAAGAAGAAAGCTCGGGGAGATTGATTAATACAGAATTATAGGAAACACGGGTGATCAATGGTCAGATATCTCGGGAATCCATACAGGCCAACGGACCTTTAAGCTGCCTAATCCATGGTACTACGCACCATAATTAATTTAATGTTACAATTAGTATGAAACACGTTTTTCATTCTGAATAAGAAAATTATGAATTTTCATGTATTAATAAGGAAAAACAATTTTCATTATCTCACAGGATTTGTTGACGTTCGCCGGTTTATGTAAGACAAGTTATGGCCAAATGTTAATTGAGTAAAACAATTTTTGCCCATCCAAGTAATGGCTTAATAACAATTTCTTATCCTCGGACTTTTAAAATATTATTTTACTACTTAAATTTATATTCCGTTTTCAATTTAAACATCGTTACGACCTCACACCACCATCATTCTTTTCTCTAATCATCACTCATCAAAACCCTTAAAACTTTACTCCCGTTGACCCTGTCAGCCTGTAATCGAAATTAATATACTAGCAACCGTGTGCGGCAGACCAAACAATTTCTATAAGATCAAAATCTAATTTATTTTATAGAGAATCATAACACCTGCTATATACACAATGAAGCATTTTATATCTAATATATCTTATGTTGTCAATGATATATATATATATAAGCATATTTTCACCTGTTAATAAGATAGTTCTATTATTCAGTTAAAGTTAACCATGGGTGAGTGAGAAAGTATCATTTTGAATCTTTTTGGGTAGAAAAGTGTCTTTAGGTGAAACATTGGGTGGGAAAATGTCGTTTACTCTTTATTATTATTATTATAAAATTGGAGGTGTCTGGATCAATTTACATGTGTCTCAATTAATCCCACGAGACCCTGAAATTACTAACCGGGTAAGAGTTATAATAGCTACCCGTATTAGCAATCAATGAGAGACTCAAACTCATAACCTCTTAAGTAATACATTCAAGACTCCTTATCAAATCACTCAATCACCCAGAGGTGGTTGTTTACTCTTATTATTGTTTGAGCCGTGCGGCAACGACACAACATGTATAAATCAAGCTTTGCTTTTGTAAAAATATTTCAATAAATAAATTAGACTTCTCAGTAAATTAAAAGTTAGGCCACCTAAGTTTTGTCATTTTCAGATATCTTTTAGCATCCCAAAATTCATATAATTTTCTTATATATATATATGTTCCACCTACGTACGTGATAAATATACGTTGATCATGAACCCAAATCGGGACCAATAGAGGCTTTTGACCCCACTGTACAAATACATGATTCTCAAACATTCTTGCAGTAATAATCTTTCAAACATGAAAAACATTTTGCATATGCATCTGGTTGTTCATAATGTTCAACTAGATAAAGTAATTTCGGTAGAACTCCAAGGTCAATAGGCAAAAGCTTATTCTATATAAAGGATGCAAATTATGCAATTGAAAGCATCGAAAACAGTTTCATATCTCCTCTGCAAAAAAAAATATTATAGCACTCAATCATGAAAGTGTTATCATTGTTCTTCTTTATTCTAGCTACACATGTAGCAACATCCCAGGGTTTCTCATGCCCAAGTTGGCGACTTGGTATGGAAACTAATAATATTAGAGGGAAACTGGTTCCTGAAACCTGTGGAGATTACGTGAAGCGTTACATGTTAGGCCCTCTGTACATGAATGACTCAAAAGCCGTTACCGATGAGGCTCTTCTCTATGCTAAAAGCCAGAAGCTCGCCGGCGACGGCAAGGATATATGGATCTTTGACGTAGATGAAACCGTAATCTCTCATGTACCTTATTTTTCTGAGCATGGATTCGGGTATGATTATGGATTAATTAGTAGAATGACACTGAAATAATTATCCAATTACATTTTTTTTTTTTTCTTACTAATTAATGCTCTATTTTCAGGACTGAGCCAATTAATGGGACGTCGTTTTTTGAATGGATGACCGAAGCCAAAGCACCAGCTTTGCCATACAGTCTGAATCTGTACGAAGATTTGTTATCTCTAGGGTTCAAGGTTGTGTTCCTGACGGGAAGACCTGAATATTTGAGAGAGACCACAGCCACAAATCTGAGGAATGTTGGATACCGTACTTGGGAGCAACTTATCCTTTGGTATATAAGACTTAATTATTGATATTTTATTGAATTAGATATATATTTATGCATCAACCTGATTAATCTTTTGGGTGCATGCAGGTCATCATCTTATCCAACCAATACAACACTTGAATTATATAAATCGAATGAAAGAAGAATACTGGAGACAAATGGATACAGAATTATTGGAAACATGGGCGATCAATGGTCCGATATCAATGGGATCCATCCAGGCGATCGAACGTTTAAGCTGCCTAATCCAGTGTACTATTCAGCATAATTAAATGCTACTCTACAAATTAATATGAAAAACTTGTATGCCATTCTAAATAAGAAAATCATATATTTTCATGTATCAAATTTGACCAATGAAATATGAAATAACTATTGAATTGAGTGAATCTCAGGGAAGCCGTGGCGTGGTTGATCTTGATATTTATGTGAAACAATGTTTATTGGGGACCAAAGGAGTCTAACATATACATTGTACCGTAATGGGTAACTTTTAAATGCAGGTTTTAATTAGGGGTGGGGGTGGAAAAATTTCAATCTTTTTCGAACCGAATCGGATATCGGTTTATACAGATTTTCAAATCGAAATCGGACTAGATTTCTACCTAAACAAATTATTAATCAGTTCGGTTAACCGGTTTTCAACTAATGGAATTAAAAAAATAAAATTAAACCTCATTATCATTGTTTTAAATTTCATGCCTTTAAATTGATAATTAACACGTGGACAATCTTTTACTTGAAATACTTCTTGATGTTATATTTACAAGTTTTGCCATTCATTCTTGTTCCTTTACATTTAGTTTGAACCATTCTTCTTATTCCAAAATCATTTCATTTTCTTCTCCACAAAGACGAGCAACTCCACACAACAAATTCACACAAGATTGACAGAGAAGATTTTTTCATCTATAGTCAGTTTAAACGTGAAAGCCCTTATTTTTTGTGGTATTTTCTTATCTTCTTGTATTGGATCCTAAAGAGACGAATCAAAAGAGAGATGTTTACTTTGCTGAATCAGCAAATCGCAGACGGCATAAGGCGTAAGCTTTGAAGAAGCTGACGATTGAAGGAGTGAGGACCGGCGGGCAACGGCGATGACTGGTTGTGAAAGTCAAAAGGAAGAAAGGAGGCAATCGACAGAAAGAGTTGAAAGAGAGGCAGATGTTTGAAACTTAGGGTTTAGGTTGAAATTACTCACATTTTATCATTTAGGATTTTTAATAAAAACTGGTTTAGAAAACCGATTTTCATAATTTCTTGAACCAGTAATCGAACCACGAAATCAGCTTAAAGAATTTTTAAATCGAAACCGACTTTTCGGTTTGGTTTTCCGATTCAGTTCGATTTTCTTTTTCTTTTTTTTCACCCCTAGTTTTAATGCTAGTTGAATGTAAGCTTGTGTTTATTGGCATGCCGTCCTCTCTGACGCTTAAGTCAGTGCTTTTTGCAACAAAAATATTTGTAATTTAGCGTATATACAAAGAGGAGAAAAAGAAATAGCATGGAAGTTTTTTTATTTATTTATCAATGATATTCGAACCCACTTATCGTATACTTCAATTAATACTTAGAGGTTTTGTAACTGTCGGTCCAGTAAGAGTTCTAATAATTACTCTTATTTTTTTTTTTCTTTTTTTGTGTTATCATTGACGGTGTCTAGGTCAGTTTATGTGTATCTCAATTAATTCTCTGAGATTCTGAAACTGTCGACTGGTTAAGAGTTTCAGTAGTTATCCAGATTAATGTCTAGAAAGACTCAAACTTAAAAATTTATAAAACCTTATTTTGCTCTTTTACAATTAAACCATCCAGTGAAATCATCCAGTGGAAGGTGTTGTGAAAACTAATATAGAGAAAGCTGGATTGATATGGAAACTGGAAAGGCTAATACTTAAGTATTTATTTGTTGGGCAACAAATTAAGTTACATATATGGTCCTTATAATTTATATAAGCGGTGAGATATTTCTCGAAATTTAAACTTTTTACAATATAATATGGGTTTAGCAATCTTAATCTTTCAGTGTAATTTTTCAAATATAATTTGTTTATACGACATCACTTTATAGTTAAATATTTAATAATTTAATATTTTCAAATTAAATGATTTCTTTGCATTATAATATTTATAAATTTATATAACTCATAGTTAAGATAAATTAGATGTGACGTGAACATATTATTTAGGAATCCTAGGCGTCACCACAATAGGTAGTGAAAGCGGCCACAACTATCACATTTTTATTCTATTTCTATATAACTATCGTTTTAAATCTCTGCATAATTTTTAATGAATCAATTTCATCTCTCCTTAAATTGACTTTTTCCTCTGACATTGTAGGTGGGAAAATTTTGTTTTTCCCACTGCATACATGTGTAAAATATTGAAAGAGAGAGAGGATATGTGGGCCATAAAAAAAAAAAATGAAGAGAAAAGATAAGGTGGAGAGTAGAGAAAGGAGTTGCGGGGCGATGGAAAATGTGGAAGAGAGGATATGAGGTGAAGAGAGAGAGAGAGAGAGAGAGAGAGAGAGAGGAGATGTGGGACATAGAAAAAAATGAAGAGAGAAAATGGGGGACAATGTAGAGAATGGAGGTGTGGGTCAAAGAAACATTGAAATAGAAAAGACAACATTTATTTTAAAAAAAGTTAATACCCTCGTAACGACATTTATAACAAAACAGAGGGAGTATATAGTTTCAAGATCATCATAATAATTAATTAATAAATGACTTAATTTATTCGCTGTCCTTAAGGTTTGATGTAAAAACGTTTTAATTAATAAATGACTAGTTTCACGATCATCATAATTATTAACTAATAAAATGTGTGATTCCTAGGATCGAGTGAATAAATTCTAGAAAGTGAAACTTTCTAGAGAAGCAAACAGAAAGTTTAAGAGAATTTTTTTTGGAAAGTAGATCTTTAACAAAAGCAAAGCACCAGCTTTGCCGGAGAGTCTTGATCTTTGCAGGAAGCTATTGTCTCTTGGGATTAAGGTCGTGTTCCTGACGGGAAGAGCTGAAGAGTTGAGGAAGGTGACTGCAACCAATCTGAAGAATGTTGGATACCACACTTGGGAACAACTTATCCTCATGTAACCGAAGTTTTTAATCAACTAATTATTCCTTTTCTTAATTAAATCATTTTCGTTTAATCAATCCTTTTGCCTTTTGGTTGCAGGCGGAATTCTAATTTTTTTTTTTTTTTTTTTTTGTTGTTATTCAAGTATATCTTTTTGTCTGTGTTACGATTAGAGCCTAAATATCAATTATATTCTTTAACATTCATACACAAACCAATCAAGAACAGAACATACATGATTTTACCATGGTTCACTTGTTCAATGAACAAACTGCGTCCACGTTAGCTCTAGAATACTAAGACTCACTGCACTAGGATTATGACAGTTACAGAGTACAATCACAACCAAACAATCGCAAAACCCCTATACAGACTAATCACTCAAATCAACCACAATAACCCTTATCCTAAGAGAAAACTATCCTAGCTTCTCTACCCTTGAAGGGAACACAACCTTCTAACCACGATTCAAAGATTGCACAATGGATTACAGATTTAGAGTGTACAGATGAACCTTAGCAAGAGAAAGTTTTTAATCGAAGAAGAGGACATGTGTTCTTTAAAAGCTGAAAAATCACGCTTATATACCTTGACCAACAAGTGGAGTAAACCATTGGATTAGTACAGATTGACAATCAGATTGCAAACAATAAAGGACCAAACGGCAACGCATGGTGTTAATCCATACGCAACATTTAAGGCTTCACAATTACAGTCTGTTTGGTTGATGAGTAAATGAGGAAACGTTTGTTAAAATTTTATCTAGACTGTTGAGTTTTGATTTTAATGTTGGATTTAGGTTATACACTTAAGTTTGATTGCTTCTTTGGCGATTTTAATCCATCTCTTTTAAACATTTATGTATTTTATGTTTTGAGTTGTGATTGAGTTTTAATTTGTGTGAAATATTTTTGTGGATTGTATTGTGTAACCTTTTGATTATATGTGATTTAAGTGAATCTTTAGATCTCATGTTTTTTCTCTCTCTTCACATTGAAGAGGTTTTCCACATCAAATTTTCTTGTGTTTTCTTTGATATAAATTTCAAGACCCTTGAAGATCTATGGGATGAGGATTCTTAACCTTTTATATATCAATTTTCACTAAATGTCATCTATCTTTAGATCTGTTTGTGTTTAGTCTTGATTGTTACTTAAGGTCTTGAATGGTTGGATGGGAAGATGAAGAAGATAATACAGGAGAGAGCGAGATAAGAGAAGATGATGGGAAGAGGAGATTGAAGAAGTAGAAGATAGAGACAGTTTAATAATAACCCCTTCGTATATTGTTAGAATTTAACGGTCACTATATATATTTAATAATGGAATATGGAATATTGAAATTAGGGTGGAACTTATAGATTTAGGAAACCTTGGGTGGAACATGTCGTTTACTCTAACAAATATTTTCAATCTTCTTATTTGAACTTATCTGGCTAGTTTATTAATAATAAGTAAAGATTCTTTTAACAGTGCACGTTTGTATGGAAAATCTGTCTAAACATTGTATTAAATAAATGTAAAAATTTTTTCTATCTTCTAACTTATATAATATAAGACTCATTTACCATGTGTTTTTAGTACATAATATTAAATAAAATAAAAATAAATATGTATTTGCGCCTCAAATATCGAACACTTTGATGGTCAAAATAAGCTACCTATATAAATCGAACACTTTGATGGTTAAACTTAGCTATTGCAACTGAGTGATGCTATTGGCTCTTCGCATTTTTCTTACTAGACTCCGATTATTTTTCCTTCTTTATTATAGTTTTATCCTTTATAAAAATTATAAGGAAGATAAAGTATTTAATAATATTCACATACATTATTCTCTTACAACATTTTTCATACACATTTCTCTACAACATATGATTATATGAAAGTTTAATTTAACTTAATTAACCAATCATATCTTTCACATAATGTTGTATGAAAATTATGTATATGTAGTATTGTATTACCAACTCATCTAGAATGAATCTTTTGCTATTAATTAAATTTTTTTATTTACTTTCTACATCGTAAATCCAAAATATATAGATCATGACTAACGAGTTTCTTATAGTACTAATAATATTTTTTGGGTTTATTTTTTATCCTTTTTTATTATTTCTAATTTCAATTGTTTTGTACATTTATCAGATTTATATATTTATATATTTTTTTCTTTTATTTTTCTTTTTTAAGAAAATATTTCATATGAATCAGATTGAAACTTAACAAAGTGTGCAACCGATTATATGTTTGATTGATATTAATTGAAGATAAAAGATAATAGTATATATAAAGAGAAAATA